TGATTAAGACAGATACATCTTCAGATGGGTTGGCGAATAGGTGCAAGTATGACTCCATCTTGGATCCGCAGGAAACTGCTTACAGCACAGCGGCACATGAAGACGAGTTCTGACTTCTCGGCACGAAACAAGCTTTGCGGTCGTGCAGTAAGCACATGACAGCAGTGCACTGTCTGTCAATCTTTGACAGATGCATGAGAGAAGGGTTGTAATTTCCGAGGTAATATTACTAGCTTACCAGAGGCGACACCGGTATGGTAATCCGACCTCTGTTCCGTCCACTGTGATGCGGCTTACAGTGCTTTCAACTCCTGTAGAAACAGTTCGCGATGATAATCTGAGCCTCATTTCGCCTCGCCCACACCTGCAGAGGACGGCGATACTATAGCCTCTCGCGTCTGTTTATCTTCCTGCGCATTGCGCCCTAACGCATTCGTGTCACTCCATTGACTTCGAGCACGACCATCTGAGGAATGTAGACTCACGACCCAGATCCTCTGTCATACTTCGTCCCGGTGTCTCTCGTGCTATCTTTCTCCGCTCATTTATGTTTTGCCTGGCATAGTAGAAGCTGAAGCCCGCTACCACAATCAAGCAGCTCCACCCAAGGGCCTGTGTGTACATCACAGGTTAAGCAGCCGAAATTTGCGCCGATAGCGAGACAGAAATTAGGGAATCATGAGCGTAGGTCAACTTGCAAGAGAAAAAGAGATACTGGCCATCCTCTGTGGTGTGCTCATCGTGACTGAGACGAGAGAATGATGACGGCCGCGGCGGCATTGCAAGGGGCCCGGACAGACACGGGCAAGCGCCTTCGCGCGTCGGGACTCTTGGGGACAATGGGCGCGCCTCACATAGGCGCTGATATTCTTGTTCGTATGCCCGCCCGAGTCGCACCAAGCTACCGACCGGCCATCCGACACTTCTCCATGCCTATCCTTCTCTTACAAGCCTGGGAGCTCCTGAGAATTGAAAATTGCCTCCAGACCGCTGCAGAATGCCCTCGGACCATCGCAGTGGCCGACTGTATGCATGACATCGAAACAATTGCTCTTTGTACTGCAGCTTGGGCAGGTGCGCTACAGCATACATTTCGCAGTCCTTGTCATATGTCATAGAGTACGATAGCGATATTTGCCATAGGCTTTTGGGATGGAAGGCCACGGTGTTTCGAGTCTCCGTCCTGTGCTCTCCTATCGCAGTGCCGTCCGATGATTTGGGACTGGGGCCTCTCACGACGATGCTGCGATGATCAGGGGTCTCACGAAAATTCTCGCATCGTGCTGTCCCGCGCACCTTAGCCCTCTGCTTCAAACTCTCCCAGGACACCCAATAAGGCCTCGAACGCGCATAACAAGGTTTAATATCGGCATGCTAATGATATGGTTACGCCATTGTTGACGATATCTCTCTACGTGCAACACCGTGCTCGACTTCAGCTCTACACCCATCTGAAGCTTAGCGAGATCACAGCTCATGCATGGAATACAGCTCTAACAGGATGATTTTTCGCTCAGCAACCTCTCGATCATTCGTGCGTACCCAGGGAGGTGATTCTGCCCGAATTCGAAGCACATGGATGGCCAGGAAACGGCGAACTTGAAGGTGTGGAAGCCTATAGTCCGGATCCTTGCATACTTGCCCCCCTACAGGCCTCTCAGATTCTTCACCAGTCGGCCCTCCGCCCGCGCATGACCTGCCTGCACTTCCTAGATGGGCGGTAGAATAACGGAACTACGGTGCCTCAACACAGCCCTTCGTACAAAATTTCCCGTGAACATGCAACCCCATTCGACGTGGAGAAGCTTGGACGCGTTGATCCTCCTTTCCCGTTGTGACCATTGCATAGTTGTTCGTTGGCGGCGGCTGCATGCTCCATAGGGCTGGAGTGTTCTGTCGCTGAGTGTGGGTTTTTCATTAGACACACTGCGATACGTTGAACAGTGCTTCTCGTTGGTAGCTTATCTGCTTCCACCAGTCTGTCTGCTACCCACCGAGTATTTGCCTAGCTGAACGCGCAAGCACCACATGCATTGCCCTTTCGCCATGACTGATGATCACGAAGGATGAGGATTTGTCACTCGAGGCGAGTGCTAAGCTCTTCTGGCATATCGCCCACTGACATCTACCCACGTATATACTAGTTTTACTTGCAGCTGGTTCCGCTTTCCCTGTGCTATTTAGGGCTGTGAAATCCATTCTATTCATTCTGGACGACATCGGCTCAGATTGTCTACGTCACCGTTTCTTCTTTACCGACACGTGTAAGGGTGTCGTCAGCGATGCCTAGTCTCCCCCCCTGCTATCTTCCAATGGCTGTGAGTCGCCATACTACTGTTTCTATCTTGCGCGCTCCCAAGCTGCCAAGTGGGAGCCCTAGCATCGCGTTGCGTATCGTATGTGAACTACTATGACGCACTATCTCCAGCACCATCAAACACGAGTAGCTCTCTTGATGTCGTGCTTCTGGTCAGATTGACCTACTGCTACCGCGAGGTATGGCTACTTGCCAGTGTCGTTCGAATTGGGAGTGATGAGAAGAGTCACTTGTGGGGACGGAGGCTTTGGCGGCCCGTTGCAGCTAGGCCTCCGGTGCGCTGCAGAAGCTTTGGCTTTATCCGATTCAATATGCGAGCTCCGATGTATTCAGCGAGAATAGTGTTCGATCATGATCGGCTATGGCCTTCAACAGCATTTTCATGCCTCAAATCCGCTCCACTGTATTACAATTCCACGCCCACCGCTTGCACCGTGGGCAAGTATAGCATTCTGTGAGTATTGTTACGGATCCCCATCTCGTACCTGGGAGGATATACGTACTCGAGACATTCCGCTTACGCTACATCTCCCCCTTACCCAGTGTCCAGATGGCCCTTCACATCTCGAAGCGCCCACGGCATGATCACCTGTGTGTCTTGCTACTGCCACTATCTCCGTAGCGTGGCGCCTTGTGGTCGCTCTGGTATGGAGAACGATGGGACCAGGATGTGACGGACGCAAGTCATACTAGGCCCGAGCGCCGCTTCCCCTCTGGCCGTCAAATGATCCGGCTCCAGGCCTGCAAAGGCAGGTCACATAGGCTCATATCTGCCCTCGATTTGTGGGATTGCTGCGAATAGACACGGTTGACGTCGATCGGCCAGCCCACTCCTGTCCTCGCGTCGAGATATCTTCACAGAATAGCGCGCTTTTCGTACCAGGCTGGAGCGTCTCGTGGGCCGTGTAGGCTCCTGGCTCGGAACTGACATCGCCGCCCGCATGGTTGCGAAGTCTGACGCCGTCCGCAGGGAGCGTGCTGGCAGCTCAGCTGGCTATCGCCCGCCCTGCTGTTCGGATGTCCCTGGGAGTGCCTATCAGAGTCGCGCGCTCGGAACCCCACTGGTCAACTGTCCAAAGCCCAGGGCCTAGGCCGATTTGAAAGTGAGGAGTCCGACGTAACTAGAGGCTGATTGGCCGCAGACTCTGAGATTGCTGAATTCGATATTGTGCACATCCACCCTCAACGCTAAATCGCGACCCTGTCTGGGGACTCGAGGGGGTCGCCCTCCTGGCCCGCTAGGAGTCGATACCAGCCGCCTCGGTCGGCGATGAGTTGCCAGGATAGCCAAGGCAATCTGTCGCTAGGCCGGCATCTGCGCCTACCGCGGTGCAGATTGAGTTGACTCTCCGCGAGATTGGTATGGGCACTAGTGCATCTGCCGAATGGTGTTTGGGCTGGGCGCGCAGAGGAGGGTCGGGACCCTAGAAGCGGGCCAGGCGCCGGGGGAGAGCCGCCAGCGACCGGGTCGGAAACGCGTAAGGGCGGCAATGCGAGGAGCGGACTCGGGGCATGTTGGGTGGGCAGGGGACCGCGCGCCGAGCCCGCAATCGAGGGTGCAAATCCGGTGGCACTCGGCGTGCTCTGACAGGGCGCAGAGAACGTCGCAGGGGCGTGTGTGCGAGCGGGAGCGGTGCGCGGTCAATTTGAATCTGAGCTGCGGCGCATGGACACGCCGGTTCTGCCGGCACTGGTCATGACAAGACGACTGGCCACGCCCCTGCGAGCTGCTGCTGGCTGAGCGACGAATGCGATGCCGACCCCTTCCCTGTCATGCCAACTTATCAGACCCTCAAACGCACGACGGCGCTTCCACTGTATTCAGAATCCCAGCCCATGGGTGTGCTGCCATCGTATCTTCACCATCCGGCGCTCTCCGCCAGGTCCTGACCGGGCGACGCCAGCGTGCTGGGATGCGGGGAAATGGAGCACACATTGAGCCGAGGAAAGGAGACATTGCGAGATAGAGATGTCATGCGTGACAGCAGCTGATCAAGAGATACTGAGACCGAAGATGCTGTTTGGCATTGCTGATGATTGTGGCTCGTGTGAGTACGTAGAGTCACTATAACTGCGAGTATGTAAAGTATGAATGCGAGCAATACTAGGGGTAGGCGGAAGAGCGCTGAGGAATGATATAGAAAACACAGGACATGCGAGGAGTACACACTAGCACATTATTATCGCTATGCTCCGACCGAGACATGGATCGCGGGCCACGGGCGAGAGGAAGATGAGAACAGCGCGAATACACGAGGACCAAGATGGAGAGATAAGCTGGATATCATGGGACCAGAGACCAAATAAAAAATTATGAATCGGAAAAAATTGATGACAGTGTTGCCATGGCTAGCATAGCACCGTACCGTCCGTTGAAAACTGATCGATCATGCCTCCCCATCCCACTACCGCTGCGCGTTGCGCTGCGGACCTGCGGCCCCGGGCGTCCTCCGGGATACGCGGCGACCGGTGTCGAAGGCGCGGCTTGATGTGTGAGCGGCGCGCACAGAGGGGCAGCGAGTTAATGTGTGATGGTCGAGAGTGGGTGGTGAGGGATGATGGCGGCGCGGACGGAACTACAGCTCGCGAGAGACATGGACACGGTGCGCGCGTGCCGACTTGCCGGACCAGCGGAACGCGGGACGTAGTGAGCAAGCCGGAGGAGGGGGCAGTGTCGCGCTTGTCACCGGCGCGCGACATATCGCCAGTAGGTCGGGTTGGGTGGCTGTTCACAGAATAAGCATCGAGGCCAACGGGGAGGCGAGGCGGCTAACACGTACCTGTGTGCCCGATGTCGAGTTGTCTGTGGATGGGATGGTTGGTACTCAGCACAGCAGGCCATGTTCCAACGAAACGAAAGGACTCACGAGGCTTGAGGCACTCCCAAATGTCCACCCCCTTGCCCTTGGGATCCCATACTCCACATTGCGAATGCAGCGCCCAGTAGATGTTGAGCTCCCATACACGAGTGGCATCGCTGACAAGCCCAGGCATTTTCGGAAGAGGAAGAGAGAGATGAAGGGGAAGGGCAGGAGAGTCCTCGCGGAGGAACTGGAAAGAAAATTTGAGGAAAGGGAGGCAGCGGGGGTCGGTCTTTATCGGGGGATCATGGTAACCAGGAGGTCGATTTATAGCGGAGAGGGCGGTGAAAGGCGCCGGAGGACATTCAGGTCTGTGGCTAGGGTGGGTTGCTGCATAAGGAAATGATGGCCGTACGTAATTTGCCTTCTTCTTGTGGCCATTCATGACGATTCCTGGCCCCACTTTCAGACCCCGCGCACCCGCGCCCTTGGCACGCGCCCACGCCTCAATATTCGTTTGGACTTCCGCTTCAGCTCCGCGCAAATTGAGGGGGGGGAGAGCCAATGGGGGGCAGAGCGGAGTGCGGGCAAGTGCCGAGGACCGACTGGGAGACGCCAAAAGCGGGCGATCATCGACATCGATGGCTGGCGTCGGCCTCCTGCTCGGACAACGCGACGCACGACGTTGCGGCCTCCGCCCCGGAATATACAACAACAATCAGCCTGCGTCGTGTGGCCGCGTCCAGCGGCCGCAGCATCAATCCGACCGGGCGAGGCGAGCGCGAGGCCACCCACGGCCAGCGCACTACTTGTAGGCGCGATGCGGCCACGACGGCCTACCCGAGCGGCGTCCAGACCGTTTCCCCGGCCACAGAGTGAAATTTGACAGTGGCGCCTGCGGGCGGATGAGGACTCGGCTCGCTCGTGCGTGGTCTGGACAGCGACTGTCCCGAGGCCACGGAGGATCCGGACTCGACCCGCGCTCGAGCTTTGTGGAGCGCGCCGTGTCCCGAGCCTGCAGCGTTTGTGCCACCCTCCCCCCTCCCTCAGTCCTTCAAGCGAATTCGACACCTCGGAGGGGGCCACTCGCTCGTGTTCCATCTCCTGCCACGCACCGCCTTGTCCTCGCTGGCCGGGCAATTTCGGCGGAGCCGCTCCGGTCACTCGCTGCATCGTGCAAGGGGCACAATCGATATCTTGTTGCATGTGCAACACTGTGCCACAGACTGCAAGTCCCTGGTTGCTACGGTTTACCTTGGGTTTTGTGGTGGTTAATTTTGCTCGCGGGAACCCGAGCCAGTCCGAGACAGCATTCGACGACAGTATGGCAGGCCCACCTAGACCCACCGTAGGCCTTCATCATGACCCTGAGCGATGAGATTCCTTTGAAGTGAGTCATTAATCAGCTGGTACCATTTTATCGTTGCTTATAGATATTACACCACGCATGCGGACCCGTTGGGGCCAGGTTGAGCTGTTTTGCTCAAAATTTGTCGCCGCCGATGGACCAATCCGTGTTTCAGTGGGGGCCGAAACATGATCACCAATGACAAGCAGCCGTTGCACAGCAACATCGTTAGATAGAGATTACGATCCATGCTGTCCACGCTCGGAATCACCCTTACCACTGCAGACACGATCTTTCACAGTGGCGACGGATGATACACACACACACCTCCGAGATGTGGCATCGGTGCGTGGGCAGGCGTGGGTAGGGATTCGTCACAGCAGTGCGCAGCGAATCAGCGACGGATACGATGAGCCGTCCATTCAAGTTCTCTTGGTAAGTCCCTTGCTTCACGCGGGTCCCAGCGCCAGGTCGCTTGAACTTGGCTGTGTCCAATGACCTCCTGCTCGCGGTTACAACAGATTGGCTCGAAAAGAGACTTTCGGGAGGCCGAACAGAGCTCGCATTCAGACCACGAAGCGCGCAATCTCAGCGTAGAGTTTACGCCCCAATAGAACGTCCGCAGGCTGGTCGGACCACCGGCAACGAAGCAGAGTCACAAGTTCGTAAATCCCCGAGCGCGTGTCTCGACTGCAGCTGGCGATCAGTGAATGCGACGTCTAGAATCGAAGCAGTTCTCGTGCAGGAGGCGCTGACGTCCTTCGAGGGCGTGGTGGCAGCTGACGGACGCACGACACGATGTGGCCATCGTCCGGAGCTTCTAGTGTCCGACTGGTTACTGGTACGTACTGCAGACAAGGCAGGATCGTGTGCGAATGTGGCAAAGAAGTTTGGACCCGCATCTGCATCACACAACTTCCAGACGACCGGCGCGACCCTCACGCGTATCCATGCTTCTTGAATGCCGCTGTTCGGATATAATCGTGTGCTCTCTGTCTATTACAGATTTCCAGCACTGTGGGTCACGGTTGTCGCCTCTCGGGAAGGTATTGTACACCCGGTCTTTGTAGCAGCGGTGGCTTGTCCAGGCTCAGGCTCGCGTCACTGGTGATTTGAGAATTCTGAACGGGCCAGAAGCCACTTAGAATCCACGCCGAGGCCAATTCCCTGCCACCTTCCGACAGAAGGCTCGCAATCATGTGGGTGGTATGTCGGCAGCTAAGGTACAAGAACTGGTCGCCCCAGCTCAATGTTGTTGGTGTCTTGGTACCCTAGTCTTACTAGCCTCTAGACCGGTCGGATATTGGTTAAATGTTCTTTATTTCATTCTCTGAACGACCTATTATAGAATTCGCCTGAGGCTTACGAGACATACCACTTTGTTTAGTAACCTGTTTTAGAGTTTCAATGTCGAGGGACGACGGTCGATAGGAATTAAATATATCAGACACTCAAAACCCCAGCGAGCGTATATCGAGGACAGTACCGCATTGGTCGAACTGCAAGTCTGCCGTGAAGGTTTGACAATGCAGATGATTGGCGCGGAAATAAGTTTTGGTGGGCTCATGAGGGATCATAAGGGCGTGCACCATCACTGTAGAATGATGAATGCTGTCCAACGACGACTGCGCACTTACAAATGTGCCGCATGATGCAATCTGTCCATCGGGATGATTCTAGGTACGACTGTACATTTCGGGCGCTGGGGAACAAGGCAGGCATTCTAAAATCTTACCATGGTGGCAAATGTTGGACACAGCTGATGTTAGTCCAGACTCATCCATTGATCGGCCAACTGCAACTGACTGACGGGGCCCGTTGTCAGATCGTAACAGTGCACCTGCTGAACTTGACCGTATCTTCCCTTCCAACCTCTTCGCAACGCTCAGGAGCGGATCAATCTGACGCCGGAACCAGCGTTCTCAGACACAGCCAGAGGCACATGAGCGCGATTGGCTCTTAGCATCCTCCCTAGGTGGACGAACATTTTAAAAGAAATTATATAGCAATGCGTGATGATCGCAACACACAACAGACAGATCAGGTTGAAATCCTGGATATTGTAGGCAACGCGTCCCAGTGCTGCATCCACGTCTGTCTCTGGCTGATGTTGTTGCCATATTCTGTGTCAATGGTCCGTGCAAGAGACGCGGCCCGGGTCCGAAGAGGATGCGCAAGCTCATATACTTCCGAAATGGGCGATAGCTGTTCCTCGTCCAGTGTTCCCGAGACCGAGATATCCGGAAGGTTCTCCGAAATCTCTGGGGTCAATACCCATATCCTTTGTCTCTCTGCCGCAAGCGCTCGCACGCTGAGCAAAAGGTGAGCACCCTAAGAAGGCGAGTCAGCGCAACTCGAAGGCTGTGGACAGTCAGGCGGACCGAGTATGAGTAAATGGGCCCGATCCAGCTGTAGGTGAAGCTCAGCGCCAATGAACCCCGCGAAATGAGTAGGAGCATACATGGCGGCGACGATGGCGAGCATCTCGCTATTGACGTATTGTGAGAGGGTGCATATGAATAGTGTGACTGAAGATCGGGACTTCAGGACGGGCGTCGTGAACGCCTGTACAAGTACCGACGTACCGAAAATCCTGCACGGAGCCGAATATTAGCTGACGGCGAGGGTAGGTGCGCACAAAACCCACACAAAATAATACGCCGCGCCATCACGCCAGATACGGAGGAGCATCGGGATGTCACATAGCGGACGATAAGAGTAGCACTTGATGCACATGAGTACGAATAGGATAGCTGGGACGGTGTTTGTGCTATCTGCGAAACGTGCTGTGAGTACTCACTTTCAAAACTCAGAGCGGGGACCCTATTCTCACGTCTCAGAGATCAGAAATGAGCTTTAAACGAAGTACTCACTGGTTTGCTTTGGCGAAGTTGGGAATGGCGGGGTAGAAACATCCCTTTATGTGCCAGTTTGATGGATACGGATTAATAGAAGGATAATACTGCATATCGGCCATTATATTGATCGCTAAAAAGCTCTGCAACTTGTCAGATTAATATAGCTGAGCGTAGCAACAGAACGCACAGTGATCTGCCCTATAATCGGCTAACGTCAGTTCGAAGCTGCGAAGAGTCAAGTCGAATTGGATCTTGCCTACGGCAGATACGAGGATGATGGTTAACACTACAATGTGTCAATGACTCGGCTCAGAAAATCAAGATCCATGGATCCTACCTAATCTGCTTCCTCTGTAAAGAGCGTATACCCTCAATGCGAGGCCGAGTTCAAGTGTGAGATAAAGGACAGATATGATACTGCGCAGATGGGGTGAATGAAAAGGGACGTTACTGGATGCGACTTACATTGTAGTCATTATGAGGCCCAGTTCGCAGCTGCGAGCAAGCGTTAGCATAACGCCAAAATGCAAGTATAGACGCCATACTAAACAGGGACTACTCTAAAAGTCATGCAGCTGTACAATATGTGGCGTGAATCAGATTTGATCACAATATAAAGTAATCTCACATACGCCTGCATTACTAAACCGAAGTACCTTGAGATAAAATAGAGAATTTTGGGAATGGTTAGAGCGGACCTGAACAACGGGTTGAATTAACGAAACGATCTGATGATGTCGATTACAACAACCACCTCCAGATGAGTTCGAGCTTTCGAGTGAAATCAGTTATGTGTGATCATTCTACGACTATTGGCTTCCCACCTCGTCGTCAAACGATAGAACAAAATCATAGAGAAGCCAGGAAAATGCGGCCACTTAAAACCAGTACCAGTGAACAGTGAATTTGAGCTTGCTGATGTGGCATGGGCGTTTATGTTTTACCTGAATGAAACACTTCTGTGTGTGCAAGAACTATGAGCAGATCTTCCAAGCTCGCCATGTTGCTCATGAGCAGCTATGTGCGTCGTTGCAAATCCCCCAGTCGACAGAATGACGAGTCGTGTTGCCAGACAGCGCGGACGCATGTGAACGGACTGGCGAACGTCAACTGGGATTCACTAGGCAAGGTCAAGTTGAACCGAAAAACTCTTCCCACTCGTCGTACTTATAGCAATCAGCCCGGAAACAAGCCAAGTTCCTGGAAAAATGGGTGGTAGCGAGCGCGAAGAACTGAATCAACAGGAGGACCTAGGCCGCCATAATTAAACGGCGAGCTCACTTGATAAAATCGTTGATCCTGTTGCTTTGAGGTCAGACTGATTTCGGTAGGCTACGCCAGTAGACTTGGACAACGAATCGCAAAAATGATGGAGGTTGCATAGTCAAAACGTAATAAGTCAGTATCGGACATAAATGGTCCTTATGAAAGAACCCGTCGACCATTCACTATTTAACGGCCTGACAGATGTTCCCGAGACGTCTAACACTTAGACCCAATATGGCTAGTGCCGACGGCCTTAATAGTTGCACTGCCGCATCAGAAGAAATTGGAGCTTTAAATTATCGATATGGACAAACGCAACTTCGCATTCATATCCTTGACGATCTGTAGTTGTGCGACATAAGCCGACTAGTACAATTCCGAGACAATAGCAAGATGATGTACGAAGCGGGGCATATTTCAGGTCAGGTTCTTAAGCTAGATTATGGGCACTCAAAGATGAGAACGAATGCGACACGGGAGTAAACGCAGACTCGGGGAGCCCGGAGAAGTGAAGTCAACCGCTTGTGCGGCAAAGTGGCTCTGCACGTGATTGTCGCGAACCCCTTCATGCGCGCTTAATGGCACGCAATGTCAAGCGTTACGCCAGTGCTACACTGAACAAGCTTGACTAGACTATGTGCACGAGCGGCCTCCTTGTTCACGCACACACGCCATGATACGAATATGTCGTGCAGAAGATGGGCAAGTTTTTGAGGTGGGTTCGTTTGGATCGTGGCTTTTCTTGGCAGGCTACTTTACTTCATTCTCAGGTTGACGTCTCGCTATGGGATCTTGAAAGGCATGAGAATATTTCTGCTCTGATATGCTGGAAACTAAAATATATCTCAGATTAGGAAACATCGAATCGTTCCTTGAGGATAAGACTGGGGTATTACAAGACCATATTCTAGCATATCTCTCGGATGGTCGACGGCTGCGGGATGATAATATTCGTGAATTGGCGTCTGTGCAAGATCAGGTGAATCTGATTCATGCGCGTATTTTTGTATCTTACCTATTCCCTGCAGACAATCTTTGTTTTCAACAAACGGTATCTTGATTTGGACGTAAACCAAGTTCTCAGCGACCTTCAGATCGAACCAGCATTGCAACCACCTGTGGAAGGTATATTGTTTTTAAATTTCAATTTCTTGCTTGTGTCTCTGAAGTAATTCTGCAGATACTATCGCCTCAACACCTCCATTTCGAATCACCCAGCTTGCAACGTCCTACGTACATGTTGCACACGCGCATAACGAGCATGTCAAGCAGACGCTCCTGTCCCTCAGCTTTCAGAACGCAGCTCTTAATATTGCCTCCAGTGCGCTGGATCTGCATGTGCTCGAGATTACAAGTGTTTTTGACGGGATTGCGGAGGCAGTTCGGCGTGAGCTTGACAAACAGAGTGCGCTTCTTGATGGTCTTGATGGTGATTTGGCGATTGTGGAGCGTGTATCGGTGCACAAGGAGTTCTTGAGTGACAAAGTGCGGAGAGCAATAGACGATGGAGATCGTGGGCGGACTTTGGGAGACTATGTCAGCAGGGATAAAATGAGAATGGTTGCAAATAATTGCAAGAGAGCGCACGGTAAGCACATTAACTAATGGCCAGACTTGTATAGCTCACTAGTTGTCTAGAGGAACTTCGAGCACTATTCCGAGAAGTTCAAGAGACAATGCTCCGGCTGAGTGGAGGCGCAGAAGAGATCCGTACGGCCGTTGTTGATCAAAGGTGCGCAGTTAAATCCTTCATCGCTAGGCCAGCACAAGAATACCGTCATAGCTTATTGGGAGAAGCGGAGGCGTGCGTCAAGCGCTCCCAGGAAGCCTTTGACAAAGCGACTGAACTTAGCGCTGTTGTTGAGAGTAAGAAGAACTTATTTGCTTTGTTGTTGCCATGTACTGACTGGTTTCTAGAGCCCGTGTCAGCTCCTGACAAGGTTCTGTCAGGTCAGTGTTGATATTAGGGTCTAATGCATATGCATTGATAGCGGGTTTCGTTCAGAGTTCCGTCAACTTGATAATACATTGCGCAGTGAACTGCAATACATCACTCAAGTTAAGGTGGGTTTGACTGAGGTTATTGGCACAGACTTCTTCATTCACATCTAGTCCAACAGAACTCTTATACCGAGCACTGCATTACAACTTTACGTCGAGTCAGCATATTGAACAACGATCTGGTTGAGCTTCCGACGTTAATGGCATCCTTGCAAGCTGCCCTCAAGGCTAGGACAAGCTTCTCGCATATCCAGAGACTGCATAATATGCTTTATGCATATGGAGCAACAGTAGTCGAAGTCGTGAGGCGGAAGGAGTTCTGTAAGCTGAGCGTACTTGACTAGCGGGTGTCTATCTGATTGGAGGGATACCAGCGCGATTCTTTATCCAGAGATCGCAGAGTATTCTCGAAGTCATGGCCAAACTTTCGTAAGTGTCATCTCCATAATGTTTCATGTGTGTCATAGAGCGAACGCAACAATCCGTAGCGCAAATGAACGTAAACGACGCCAGGTCTACCGAGGCGAAGTCCATGGTCTACTTCCTTTCGAGACTACCATGGATGATCCAGTTCCAGCTATTGATTTTTCGCCAAGTGGGACCGATGAATCAGCGTATTCTTTGGAACGCCCGGATGTAGACGGTCAGTTACATACGGATATCCTCCCGTTTGGACTGTATGCCCTAACGCAATCATTATCCCCAGGACTATTGCAACTTCTGGATGATTTAGAACATTTTGCGGAGGTTTCGCAGGATCCAGCCGCGTTGAAGTCCGTAGCGGAAGCACGCGCAGGGTTGGAGCGACTGGTGGGCAAGATGGATAGTCTTGAAACAGCGTTTGATCGTATAGCAGAGCGCTCTTGTAAGACTACGTCCTCAATATCACGAAGCGTCTTCGTTGCTAATCCAGCATTCATGTAGTGCTGTCTGCCTCCCGCCTGACCAGTCAACGCCGTCGAAGTAGGTCGTGGAATATATCATGTCCAAGTGTAATGTTACTCATCTACTACTTAGCGGCAGAAGAGGATCTTGAGCTCGAATTAGAAATTCAGAAGTTACGACACGCGCAAACAGAGCGAGACACGGTGTATCAAATGGAGCGACAAGCCTTGGAAGAACAAGCTGTGCAATTGCGGGACTCCCTTGATGCTGAGCGGGCTGCGCGTGATGAGCTTGAGCGCGAATTACGGTCTGTCAGAGCGCAGCTTGAGAGCGAGTCTACGTCAAGACGTATCTTGGAGGAACGAAACACGCAGCTTTGTTCGGGTGCAGACGGACACAGGGAAGCATTGGCCCGTGCGCTCGCGGAGGCGACGGAACAGACCAGGGCAGCCGAGATCGTACGACAGGAACTCGCTCAAGTCCGCGCGGAATTCAAGCACATCAAGGCGATCGAGAAACACAACACGGACAAGGTCGCGTCTCTACTTGAGGAGCAGGCACACACCTTGACTCGACTTGAAGAGGCCCGTGTCCGCGGGGAAGATCTAGAGTCGCAGATACAGGCTGCTCGGTCCGACGGCGAAGAAGTTAAGCGCGCGTTGGTTGAAGCAGACAGAGAGAAGGACCGACTGCTCCGCGCCCAGGCGTCCGAACATGACCGCATGATGCGCGACCATATTGCCGAAGCTGACGGTGATCGGGCTGTGCTTGAGCACCAGTTCTCCGAGCTCAAGGCTGCGCTTGAGGACACTGAGCGGCAGCTCAAGGATGCGCGTGCGCAGACTGATATGGCTTTGGCAGATACGGTCGGTCTTCGGGAAGAGCTGCAACGGGTTGAGCACCAACTCCGCGAGGCCCAGCACATGGAGAGAGTGCTCAGAGACGACCTCCGGGACGGTAGGGCCTCTCAGTCTGACTTTGAAATGCACCTGGAGAATAGCGGCCGCCTTATGGCTCAGATTTTGGATGTCGCCCTCGCATTTCGAGATTCACATGTCAAGGCTCTCGTGGCAGCGCAAGCCATGGCTTCTCACCCAGCTGCCAACAGGGCATCTACCAATCTAAATCTGACCGACTCAGCTATCAGTCCGGGAAGACTGAGTATTGTGAGCAACAACTTTGAACCTCCTCCTATTGATCCCTCCGATCCTGCTGCTGCTCTCGAGGCGTTACGTGCGTTTGATCATGACCACTTCATGGAGGCAATCAACAAGGCCGGCTCTACCATTCGTAAGTGGCAGAAACAGTGCAAGGAATATCGTGAGCGGGCAAAAGGGAAGATCTCGTTTAGGAACTTCACTAAAGGCGACTTGGCACTGTTCCTGCCGACGCGGAACTCTGTCTCGAAGCCTTGGGCGGCCTTCAACGGTGCGTATTCAATGTATTTTTGTCAATGAAGCGGTCAGGACCTAAACTCCGAAATTTCTCCATGTCTCTTGACTCCTTCAGTTTCCTTCCCACATTACTTTCTGCAGGCTACCGGCCATCTTGCCGAGCAATTGAAGACACGGGAGTGGATCGTGGCTCGAATTACCTCAATCACGGAGCGTGTAGTAGACCAGAAAGTTCGTGAATGAGCTTCTCGTTTAAGCAATGGTCCATGGCTGAATGATTTTTGCCTTTGTATAGGATCCAAGCACTAACCCATATGGGTTGGGAGATGGAGTCAAGTACTACATGTTGGAAGTTGAGGATTGGACCCAGCCATCGTATGCATCGAAGCGACGAGAGCCGGTCAGGAAGGCTTCTTTAGAGGTGAAAGAATCGACTAGCCTACCACTTCCTAGTCCACCCATTCAAGACGCAGCTGCACTACCTGTTGGGCCTCCTGAGAACGAAGTAGAAGATTCGTTTAGTGCGACTAAGCCACCAAATTCTAGGCTATTCCCCGTTCGCACACGCTCAAATTCCTCTCCGAATGCGGGACCATCCTCCCTCTCGCGTCTCTTGGCCCAGGCGCCCCCACCCGAAATGTCGCTCGAATCCACTGGGCTAGAGAAGCCGAGTTTGCCGTCCCCCGTAAACTCCCCTCGTCCGCCACCATCCCCCGCAATCTCCCCTCGTCCACCATCATCCCCCGCAATCTCCCCTCGCCCACTGCCATCCCCTGTAACGTTTCCTCGTCCGCCTCCCTCCCCAATCACTTCTACTCACCCGCAGCCCTCCCCAACACACACCGGAGCGGTCCCACAAATACCTGGTCCCCCTGGCGTATCCTCTCTTAGGCCAGGCTCAAGATCTTCTCGTGTATCCATATCATCACGGTTCTCCGGTGGCCGTATGCCTTTCGGAACATCGTCTGCAGCAAAGGCAGTCGCTACGACGGCAATATCTGAACAGGCGGTGGCATTGGTATCACCCTCTTCGGACCTTGTTTCAGGACGGAATGGAGCCTCACAGGCATCCTCTGTTCCCTCGTCAGAGGACTCACACGCAGAGGGCGTGTCAAGCTTGGCTACATATCGGCGCCGGACGACGTCGTATGCTTCACCCCGGAATAATGCGACCGCTTTGTCTGCAACGCTCAATGGATCTAGTCCGTTTTTCGGAAGTGCGAGACCAAGCGTTGGTGCGGGTGCCAGTGCGAGTAGCCGGCTGGCCAGTCTCGCAAGCAGTTGGGGTGTCAGCTTTAGTCGCAGGAAGCGAAGTGAGGTAGAGGAGAACGTCGATAGTTCGAACGAGCGTCCTGCGACACCCAACCCGATCAGTCCGAGTCATGTACTTGAGAATGCTGGGCTACTGGCGCAGTCGCCAGGCTCGTTTGAGGGACAATTAGGATCATGATTTTATGTCTTTAGAATTATCTGCAATGCTGTCTTCCTCATGTTACCGCTGATTGTTTTCCTGTGTGCTTGTTTATGTTCTAGATCGCTATGCAATGACATGTTTGCCATGATGATATTGGCTCAAATGAACTATCTGGATTCTGTGCCCCCGTGGCAATGAATGTCTGGGAGAGAGTTAAGGTACTGTCGGGACCTTGGGATGAGTCTCATGGGACCTGGTTTGGACATGTGAATACTTCTGGCTCTAAGCAACGTTATAATGATCGAACTCGGAACTAAGAAGGACCAAGAGGGACTGATCCGGTATGGTGACCAGCGAAGCGTTGCATATAGCCGCCATGTGAAGACGCCTGCTAGCAAGCTTACTTGGTACTCCTATCAAGCTTCATGACGGACAGGCAGCTCTGAAGTTTATTATTCATGGGCCGTTCTCATGGTAATACAATCAAGCCCCACAGCAATTTCTAGAATCAAGGGGTATTTCCGCCGTGATCTGGTGAGTGGTGTTCACGTTCCATAAATATGTATTTTATTCTCATGAAATCAAAACAGGGGGGACACAACGAACCCTGGCCCTCTCCCGAAGGTCATCCTTCACTGTGTGTCGCAGCTCAACGTCATGCGGCGGTGTTGGTGGGCGATCACTAGCCATTAGCGGCCGCGGAACGATATTTTATTGTGAACCCCAGGTGGCTTATCTTTGCGGGGCCCCGCATCCCCGGCAGTAGCGGGTGCAAACATTCGCACGTTCCCCACGATTCCTGATTGACTATCTCGCTCCAGTTGCTGGTGATGGCTCTCGAGCTCACAGAAGGGATATATGCCTAACATCCTCCACGGATTCCTCACGCGAAGTGCAGGCAAGTCGTTTTGCAGACGCGCTTACCGTCCCGTCCGGGTACCACATGGTTGACGAGAGCGCTCCCGCTGGCGGCTGCTAGCTCGCGCGACCACAGGACACGGAGGTAGAATAAATTATCCAAGGTCACGCCAAGTTCCACGCGTACGCGTCCCAGCGCGTTGTACTCACTTTAGTCAACCCGGTTCCCAGGTCTCCCCATGAGGGGTTTGAGGGCCACAGAGTTCATCACGAACAAATCAGATGGCGCCCCAGGCATGCCTAGCTCAAGTATGGACGGTTATGACTGGAATGAAAGCCAGAAGGAGGTGTAGGACCGTTCTCGAATACCTTCCCATCGCTGAGCCTAGCTCACGACCCATACTTCTCTGACAATCTTCCGTTTATGAAGGGTGAGATTCCTCCGTCATTCGCGTACACCCGCGGATCGGGATGGCTCGACAAGCGCTTTGTGTGCCTTGATTCTTTGGAACCGGAGCCACAAGTTGGCCAGATACCAATGAGAGGCATCAATCACGGAGGAGTCGGAGCGAATGCGGGGAAATTACGCGATAGAAGATCGGCTAGGTACTTTTGCCACCGGGAAGCCTGGATGCCAGCTTGCAGTGTGACCCAAGAACCTCCGGCCACACAGCCAGGGACCACGGTCTGACAGCACACCCCGGGAAGTATAAAACCTAGCACATTCTTTCTGTTCCGTCGCTCCTTTCAGCCCCTCCTCTGCATTATTATAGTACTGTCAAATCATGGCTGGTGGAGCAGTCGCCGTCAGCGGCGCTAGTGCAGCTTTCGAACATCTCCTCGACCCGAACCGCAAGTGGTACAATAACCGACGGTATGTCTCTGCTACGCGTACGCCTCGCCGAAAGCTGACGAATCTTTCAAAGCCTTATATATCTTCACCTCTGGATCCTCCTTCTGTGAGTTATTCACCATATCTTGGACAAGGGGGATATCCTGACGTTCGGCGCGCCCCTTAAGCCTAATCACGTCCTCGACAAATGGATTCGACAACAGTCTTATGAATAGTTTCCAGTCCCTGTCCCAATGGGAGGAATATTTCGGTTCGCCGCAAGGAGGCAAGCTCGGTCTCCTCAACGCTATTCAGGTGAGTTGCTAGAATTGTGAGCGTCTGGCCGATCATTCATGCGATCGTGTCAGAACATCGGCTCGTTGGCAGGATATCCGTTCGCGCCGTATGTATCCGACGGTATCGGTCGTCGTACAGCCATCTGGATTGGTGCAACTATCATGTTAATTGGCGTTGCGGTGCAATCTGCGGCACACAACCTCAACATGTTCATTGGAGCGAGGTTCGTAAGCATCACTGATGGCTCGGGGGGGGG